GCGGTAGTGAGGTTGGCCCAGGATCAGACATTGTTTCATTCTGCTGTGCATGCGGTCACTATGAGTCGATTCCGACTCGATGGCACCTGACAACAACAACAACAACTTGCCTTCCTGGTTCCTTTTTTTCCTATACTTTGTTGAATTTGTCCACTCTTGCTCTTTTGGATCTGACACAGTATCAAGGACTTCTACTGTCACCCTTGTTTGAGCAGCTGTTCTGTCATCAAAGAATACCAACTCTACTTGTGATTATCCCACTCCAAAACTATTAGGTGTCTTGTTGATAAAGAATAGCTTTCAAAACCAGTTTGATGTTTAAAATGTTTTACCTACCTTTCCTCTTGAGTCTTTTCTCATTTACTCCCTTTTCATATCTCTGGACAAGGAAACTGAAGCACTGTGTTTTTTCTATCTCCCTGGCATTTTTTCCATTTCCCAATTCATACTGTTTTCTACTGAGAATGCCCCACTCCTATCTCTGCCTATCCAGATGCTACTCAATCTTCTCTGACTGATTTCTCATGCAAGAAATAATGTCTCACCTCTAAATCAACATACTAATTTATTAATATTTATGCTTGTCACTTTCTCCCTCATGTTATAATTATTTGTATGAATATCTTATCTCTCTCTCTCTAGATTCTAATTTTCTTAAGAAAATGTTCTTGTCTAGTTTAAATATCCATGAATAGCTCATACACGTATTATGAATGGTCCATCAGTGCTATAGAGATCAGTTTGACTCAGGTTAATTCAGAATATGCCTTGCTGCCTTCATGTGAGATTTAAAAAAAGAATCTGTTAACCACTTTTCAATTACTCATTAACCCTCAGTCTCTGAATGTATGTATTAACGATCAGTCCTGATGTGGCACTGTAGGATAAGCACAGGACCACAGGGTCAGTTTGAACAACAAGGTCAGTGGTTCAAACTCACCAGCCACTCCTTCGAAACCTTATACAGAGTCATAACAGACTTGCCAGCACTTAACAACAGTGACAAGTAGGATTTTATACTACTGCTTTCAAGTAAAATGCCATAAGAACAGTTTACCATGTTATAAATATCTTATTTGACCAAAAACTAAGGAAAGTGCCTCCAATTGTTTTTCAAAAAAGAGTAAATTTTTTTTTTTAAACTTTACATTTGTTATTCATGACTTGAATAGAAGTTCCATAATCATTGAGCTAGTCTGTGCTCTTGTTCAGGCTGACTAAGAATATTTAACTTTATACTTTTGAGATTAAACACTAACATTGAAAAGGAGACGAGAATTCCTGCAAATTTCATTTCTGTCCTCAAGGACACTGTTTTTGAGCAAAAATCACTCAGATCATTGATTTAGATAGGATCTTATTGTTTTTAAGCCAAGTACAATTCTTGAACCCTCCCCACATCATTACTTATTTTTGCTAGACTAAATGGAGAATTTTGTTTGAAGTTGTTTTTTGTGTTTGTCAGTGTAGATGAAAGTACATTAAAGTACTGTGTGCCTACTTTGTTTTGTTTAGCTTGCTTTGCTTTTAATCTCTTCTGAGGTCGTAGTCTTTCCTGCTGTGCTTATTTAAGATACTTATTATTACAAAAAAATTTTTTTAGACTGAGTTATAGTTCTAGGTCTGACATTTGTGTAATCATTTGACTTTGGCTAAATAATTAATGTCCTAATCTGTAAAACTGCAATATATGTACTGCCTCGTAGAAATCTTGTCAGGATAAAATTAGAAAATGTACAACAGCTAAAATTTATCAAGGTCTTAACCATGTCTCAGGCAATGTGCTAAGGGTGCTATATGCATTATATCATTTAATATTCATACTAGTTCTATAATGGATGTAATCATCTTTAGATAAAGAAAATTGAAATCATTTGCCGAAGATTTTATAGCTAGCTAGTAGCAGAAATAAAATTGGAAACCAACCATGCTGAATTCATAGCCAGCATGTAGTGATACTCTTGGTAAACTACAAAGTACCATATATTTGTGAGATGCTGTTTTTAGTTTCCAAATAAATTGTTGACCCCATCAATAGTTTGGTGACCTCTTTTATGTGAACCTTACAAATCTGCTTCATTTTCCATTCTTTTCCCAAACTTTCAAGTACTACTTGATAAGGTGTTGATGACCAGACAAAAGTTTTAGTTTTAGTGGTTTCTTCTTCTAGGGGTTTCACCGACCAACTGCGGAAGATTTCCAAGGATGCAGGAATGCCCATCCAGGGTCAGCCTTGCTTCTGTAAATATGCGCAGGGGGCAGACAGTGTGGAGCCCATGTTCCGGCATCTCAAGAACACCTACTCAGGGCTGCAGCTCATTATCGTTATCCTGCCAGGGAAGACGCCAGTGTATGGTGAGGCTATCTTAAGACTGCATTTTTTCTCAGGGCCTTGATATTGCATTTAGAAATATGCTCCAACAAATCCTAAACCTTCTAAGTATTGAAACATGTCTTACAGCTATTGTGTGCAAAGGCTTGATTGTTACCATAAGAAAAGACAGTAAATAGTCATGGAAGAGATACTATTAATTTTTTTTTTTTGATACGTACAAGAGGCATCACAAAGCAATGCTTATTAAGAATAGACAATATTCAATAACAGTGACAATGAGAGATGTCTGCATAGTATAATGGTTAAAAGCAGAATCTCTGCAGTCAGACAATATTGATTAATATTTAAGTATGGCCAGTTATACTACTTGTGTGACTGTGGCTAACATTTGTAACCACATGAGGTCTTCGTTTCTTAATCTGCAAAATGGGAATACTAATAATACATAACCTATAGGGTTGCAGTAAGAGTCAAATGAGTTTATTTATTTAAAGTGCCTAGAATACCATCTCCACCACTCATCTGTCAGTTTGTTGTACTGTGGTGGCTTCTATGTTGCTGTGGTGCTGGGAGCTATGCCATCTATACTATGAAAGATGGCTGGGTCACCCATGGTGGACAGGCTTCAGCTGAGCTTCCAGACTAAGACAGACTCGGAAAAAGGAAAGAACTACATCCAAATGTTAAGCCACTGAAAACCTATCAATAATATCAGTGAAACACTGTCAGCACCAGATTGTTGAAAAAGGTATTTGTAATGAAGAATATTGATTATTGAAACATGATGAATAGCACCAGAATATTATCAGATATAGTGCTGCAAGATGAGTTCCTCAGTTTGGAAGGAAGGCATTCAAAATACAATTAGGAAAGAGCTGCCTCCTAAGGTAGAGTTGACCATGATGGTACAGTAGAATAAAGCTTCGGGACTTTCATTTGCTGGTGAGGCACAACTCAACATGACGTCTTCATTGCAAATACCTTTTTTTAAACAACATAAAAAATAATTACACACATGGACCTCACCAGATGGAATACACAGAAATCAAATTGATTACATCTGTGGAAAGAGATGTGGAAAAGCTCCATATCATCAGCCAAAACATGGCCAGGGGCAGACTGTAGAACCGACCATCAATTTCTCATATGAAAGTTCAGGCTGAAGCTGAAGAAAAATAAAACAAGTCCATGAGGGCAAAAATATGACCTTGATATATCCTATCTGAATTTAGAGACCATCTGAAGAGAAGATTTGATGAATTAGACACTAAAGTCTGAAAACCAAAAGAGTTGGGATGACATCAAGAACATTATACAGGAAGAAAGCAAAAGATCATTAAGAAGACAAGAAAGAAAGAAAAGACCAAAATGGTTGTTAGAAGAGACTTTATAACTTTCTCTCCAGAGTAGAGATGCTAAAGCAAACGGAAGAAATGAGGCAGTAAAAGAGGTAAACAGAAAATTTCAAAAGACAATTCAAGTTAACTGATGGTATGTGGAGGGGATTATAATCAATGTGATGAAACACGGTATATGAATGTTTGAATGTGAAACCGATGATGTGCCCTGAAAACTTTCACTCAATCCACAATAAAAACCTAAAAAAAAAAAAAAAAAGACAATTCAAGAAGACAGATTCAAATATTATGAAGAAATGTACAAACTGGACTTAGAAAACCAAAAGAGGCAAACACGCTCAACATTTTTCAAGCTGAAAAAACTTTAAAAAAAAAAAAAATTCAGGCCTTGACTTGAAATACTGAAGGATTCTTTGGGCAAAATACTGAATTGTACCTGAAAAAAAATTGTCGAAGTTGAATTATTTCAAGAGGTAGTATATAATCAATAGCCAATGGTACTGAAGGAAGAATTACAAGGTTCATTTAAGGCATTGGCAAAGAACAAGGCTCTGAGATTGGTGGAATACAAATTGAAATATCTCAACAAACTGAGGCAGCACTGGAAGCCCTCAGTCCTCTATGCCAGGAAATTTGGAAGACGGCTACCTGGTGGACTGATTGGAAGAGATCCATATATATACCCATTGCAAAGAAGTGACCCAAGGGAATGCAGAAATCATCAGACAATATCATTAATATCACATACAAGTAAAATTTTCCTAAAGATCATTCAAAAATGGCTATAATGGTACATTGACAGAAAACTGCCAGAGGTTCAAACCAGATTCAGAAGAGGATGTCATTGCTGACATCAGATGGATCTTAGTTGAAAGCAGAGAATATTAGATGTTCAGCTGTGCTTTATTGATGATGCAAAGGCTTTGACTGTGTGAATCATGTATGGACAACATTGCAGTATGAGTATTCCGGAACACTTAATTGTGGTCATGAGGAACTGACCAAGAGGCAGTTGTTCAACCAGAACAAGAGGACATTGAATGGTTTAAAATCAGAAAAGTTGTACGCCAGGGTTGTATTCTTTCATCATGCTTATTCAGTCTGTATGCTGAGCAAATAATCCGAGAAGCTGGATTATATGAAGAAGAAAGTGACATCAAGTGTTTAAGACCAAAAATGTCAGTTTTGGGAACTAAGGTGCACCTGATCTAAGCCGTGGTATTTTCAGTTGCTTCATGTGCAGTGTGAAAGTTGGACAGTGAATAAGGAAGACCATAGAGGAATTGACGCATTTGACTTACAGTGTTGGAGAAGGGTTAGTAAAAGTACCATGGACTGCTAGAAGAACAAACAAATCTATATTAGAAATACAACCAGAATGCTCCTTGGAAGCCAAGATGGCAAAACTTCATCTCTCATACTTTGCATATATTATCAGGAAGGACCAGTCCCTGGAAAAGGCATCATGCTTGGTAAAGGGTCACTGAAAAAGAAGACCTCCCCAGTGAGATGGATTGGCACAGTGGTAGCAGCAATGGGCTCAAATACAACTACAATTGTGAAATTGGTGCAGGACCATACAGCGTTTTGTTCTGTGGTCCATACAGTCGCTCTGAGTCAGAACTGACTCAACGGCACTTAGCAACAACAGTAGTTTTCATTTAAGGTTCAGTCTTTATGCTGTACAGTTTTGTGGATTTTGACAGATCCTTCATGTTACAGTATTCTACAAAATAACTTTAAGTTCTATTATCATTAACTCAATTCTGACTCACAGCTACACTGTAGAAGAGTAGGACTGCCCCATAGGGTTTCCAAAGCTATAAATCTTTCTCCCAAATAGTTTCACCGTCCTAAAAATCTTGCCTTCACATATTCATCCTTCCCGCCTTCATTACATCACTGCTAAATTGCATCATTACTCTTGCCTTATACCTCATACTCTCAGACATATATTGTTAATATACAAAAGAGATTAGTAGTTTTTTGTTTGTTTTAAATTATGGTGTTAGAGAAGAATTTTGAAAGTACCGTGGACTACCAAAAGAACAAACAAATCTTTCTTGAAAGAAGTACAACCGGAGTACTCCTTAGAAGTGCGGATTTTGAGATGCCACATCTTGTTCTTTGTAAAATGATGTCAGGAGGGACCTAATACCTGGAGAAGTACATCATACTTTGTTAAGTGGAGGGTCAGCTCAAAAGAGGAAGACCCTCAATGAGATGGATTGGCACAGTGGCAGCAACAGAAGGCACAGACATAACAATAAATGTGAGGATGGTGCAAGACCAGGCAGTGTTTAGTCTTGTTGTGTACAGGGTCACTATGAGTTGAAACTGATTCGATGGCACCTAACAACAACAACAAGGTTTTTACTGTTGTCCTAAACATGTATGTTGTTGTTGTGTTGCTGAGTGCCGTCAAGTCAATTCCAACCCATAGCGACCCTATAGGGTTTCCAAGGAGCAGCTAGTGAGCTTAAACCACCAACCTTGCAGTTCAAATGGCTTTGCAGTCTGGCACATTAACCCACAGCACCACACCAGGAGCTCTGGTAACGTAGTGGTTACGAATCGGGCTACTGATCTCAAGGTTGGCAGTTCAAAACTACCAATTGTTCCATGGGAGAAAGATGAGGCTTTCTGCTCCCATAAAGATTTACAGCCTCGAAAACCCTGTACAAGGGTCACTATGAGTTGGAACCAACTCCGTGGTACTTAACAACAACAACAAACACATATGTCAGATAACAAGATAGATGATAAGTACAGAATTTAACTGATCTTTTTTTTTTTTTATTTAGTACGAACTTTACTTTTTTTTTAATGTTTTATTGTGAATTATGTGATAGTTTACATGGGAAAGCATTAGTTTTACATTCATTCTATCATATATCATCTCATTGCCATGGTTACAATCCCGTCCATGCATCATCAACCAACCAAAGAGTATACCCTACAATCCCACCCTCCCACCCCCCGGTCTTCAGCACACAGTTCCCTCTCCCTTTCTGGATCTAAAGTCCACAGCTGCTCCATCACTCCACGTCATCATCAGAGTTTAACTAATCTTTTATTGTCTATAATTTTCCTTTTTCCAGAAAGTTATATACGGGCATACATACCTCATTTTATTGCTCTTTGCTCTCTTGCACTCACAGATATGCGTTTTTCACAAATTGAAGGTTTATGACAACCCTGTGTTGAGCAAGTCTTTCAGTGACATTTTTACAACAGTATGTGCTCACCTCATACCTCTAGGTCACATTTTCGTAATTCTCACAATATTTCAAACTTTTTCATAATGATAGGTGCTGTGGGTTAAGCTTTGGGCTCTTAACTGTAAGGTCAGCAGTTCAAACCCACCAGCTGCTCTTCAGGAGAAAGATCTGCTCCCTTGAAGTTATTTACAGTCTTGGAAACTCTAAGAAGCAGTTTTACTCTGTCCTATAGGAGCTCTGGTAGCGTAGTGGTTACGAATCAGGCTGCGAACTACAAGGTCAGCAGTTCGAAACTACCAGCTGCTCTGCGGGAGAAAGATGAGGCTTTCTGCTCCCGTAAAGATTTACAGCTTCAGAAACCCTGTACAGGGTTGCTATGGGTCGGAACCGACTCAACAGCACTTAACAACAAGAAGATAGGGTCACTGTAAGTTGTAATCAACTAAATGACAGTCAGTGGCATTGCACACTTAAGATAATAAACAGAACTCTTATAGACACTGGGAAATAAACAATTGTTTATTATCATCTTCACTTTATTGCAGTGGTCTGGAATTGAACCTGCAGTATTTCTAGATTTACCTATGTTGTAAAGTGCCATTGAGTCAGTTCTGACTCATAGTGACCCTGCATAGGGTTTCCAAGGAATGGTTGGTGAATTTGAACCATCAACGTTATGGTTCAAACCAATCTTGCAGTCCAGTGCTTCATCCTACAATGCCTATAGTTGGAATCATATGTATGTAGTTTTTTCAGACTGACTTCTTTTGCTTAATAATAATCATTTAAGGTTTCTTCATTTATTTTTTTTCCTTGGTATCTCATTTTTGTCTTGTGTGTGTGTATTTGTCAAAACATTAAAAAAATTACCGTTTTAAGTGTGCAATTCAGTGACATTAATTAGATCCACTGTGTTGTACAACTATCACCACTATTTGTTTCTAAAAATTTTCATCACCCTAAACAGAAACCCTGTACACATTAAGCAGTAACTCCCCATAATCTACTCCACACCCCCATCCCTAGTCACCCCAATCTACTTTTGTTTCTATACATTTGCCTATTCTAGATTGTTGTTGTTAAGTGCCATGGAATCGGTTTATTTCATATATATAGAATCCTATTTCTCTTTCTGTGTCAGTCTGATTTCCTTAGCATAATGTTTCCAAGTGTAGCATGTACAAAACTTTTCAACAAAGTTTGGCCTTTTTTCTAACGAGGTATTTTTGTTTGTTCTGTAGCGGAGGTGAAACGTGTAGGAGACACACTTTTGGGTATGGCTACACAGTGTGTTCAAGTCAAGAATGTAATAAAAACATCTCCTCAAACTCTCTCAAACCTGTGCCTAAAAATAAATGTTAAACTTGGAGGGATCAATAATATTCTTGTACCTCATCAAAGGTAAGATAAGCTAACCACTTATGAAAATAGTCATTTTTCTTATCTTGATTTTTCTATATATTTCCATATTTAGCTATTTCTGTGTAAGGAATTGCTTTGGTGTTTCCTGTCTTGAGAGATAAGTAGACTCAGAAAAAAAATTGAGTTTCAGTTGGCAAGGTTAAGAGATTCCCTGGTGATCTATCCCCCTTGTCTCCCCTCTTTCTTTATATATATATATATATATATATATATATATGTAGTGCAAATATATCTCACCCAGTCAGAAAGTATAAATCTTTATTGCTAGGTCATCTTCAGCGTGCATTGTAGTCTCATGAATCTATTCATCAGAAAGTAAGGGGAGGAATGGAGAGAGACTGAGGGCCATATTGGCTTGTCAAGTAAGTCAATACCTGCAGTCAGTGGGACAGTAGATGCTTACTGTTAGATTACCTCTTAGGGAGGATGAAGCATTATGACCCTAAAATAGGAAATAGCTAATTATACTGAGCACTAGTGAAGAGGTCATTATTAGGAAAATTGAACAGCAGGTTCCCTATTATGGTTTTAAGAAGGTAGATCTTGTAGCATAAACATGAAGGCAAAATCATGGTTCTGGATTACTTAGCTTAATTCTATGTCTCTGCTGTGATAGTGAAGAAAAGGAGAAAGATAGAAAGAGTGCTAGAATTTATTTGTTGAGTGCTAAAATACACCATTCAGTATACTGTGTGCTTTTATCTTTAAAATATACTTGTGAGGAAGGTATTACTATTCCCTCTTAGTATTTGAAGCCACTAGCTCTCAAAAAGTGAAGTATCTTGGCCAATCTATACCACAAAATAGCATTAGAATAAGGATGGACTCCTTTGTGTCTGAGATAAAAGCCCTTTTTTTCTGTTTTCCCTAAGTTCTGGTGTGATGCTAAACAGTGTTGCTGTGAGTCAGAACCAACTTGATGGCACTTAACAACTTTGCTTCACATCCCTGTTATGTACAAAATGAGATTCATAAAGGAGATGAATACAGATTGTCTCTGATTTACGGTGGGATTCCATTCCAGTAACTCTAACTTCTGACATAAATTAGATACTACTTTTTTATTAGTTTTCACTATTATTACCAGTATCTTTATAAATCTGATCTTTGTCTTTGGGGTTGGAAACATTACATATAAATTTACAAATATGATATCTACAAATCATGCACTACAACAGTATATGTAGCACATATTACTAATGATAAGATGTACCCCCTCCAAAAAAAAACTATCATAAGTGCAGATACATCAATGATTCAAGGACTTACCTATATAGTTTCTATAGTCTATCTGTAGAGTTTCTTATCAACTAAGAGACTGTCCTTTGATTCTTAAAGGATATAGTTTTAAAGTAAAAGGAAGTAAATATTAGACAGTTGTTGTTGTTAAGTGCCTTTGAGTCAGTTCCTACTCATAGTGACCCTGTATAAGATTTCCAAGGAGGGACTGGTGAGCTTGAACAGCCAACCTTGAGGTTCAAACTGACCTTGCAGTCCATTGCATTTATCTGCAGTGCCACACCAGGATTCCAAATATTAGACAATAGCTATAGATTATATTTGGCCCAGGGGAGAGGGGATAGTAGACTCCCATGATCTCTTCTAGTCAGAAGTTTAATGATAATTTTTCTCTTTGAGAGCTTCTGTAGCATTAAAGTTTTAGTGTCAAGAAAGATAGATAAAAATTGGTGAAGTGATATAAGAAATTGTATCATTTAGGCTACTGTGGAGTTCCCCTTTGCATCTACCAACACACTACTAAAGACAGAACTGCTCTGATTAAAACATTGGATAGACCCATTGTGATATCTTTTATTTCATTGATTAAGGGAATGAATTAAGAGAATTAAGTTTGTCAGTAGTTCAGGTCTGTGAAGCTGTCTATAGAAGACCTCCTCTGTGCTCTGTCAACAACTTAGAATTGTGTGAAACAGGTAAATGAATAATGGACAAAAAATGAATTATCTAACTTTTTTTAAAATATGTTTAAGACCGTCTGTGTTCCAGCAACCAGTGATCTTTTTGGGAGCAGATGTCACTCATCCACCTGCTGGGGATGGGAAGAAGCCTTCTATTGCTGCTGTGAGTGTCAGTAGACAGGTTTATTTTATCTTAGACAATATCAACATTTTGGTTTCAACTTTTTGAATTTTAATGATATTTTCTCTGTACCATAATATATACTCAACTCTTACAAATGCTATGTGTGTTTATTTTTTAAAAGAATAATTATTCACTAGTTTGAGAACTACAAGTTCCATGTTGTTGTTGTTATTAGGTGCCATTGAGCCAGTTCTGGCTCATAGTGACCCTATGTATACCAGAACATTGTCTGGTTCTGTGCCATCTTCACAACCATTGCTGTGTTTGAGCTCGTTATTGCAGCCACTGAGCCAGTCAATCTCCATTGAGGGTCTTCCTTTTTTTAACTCACCCTCTACTTTATCAGGAGTGCTACAAGATAAGCATTGGACTGCTAACTGCAAGGTCAGTGATTCAAACCCAACCTCTTCATGGGAGAAAGATGAGACTCTCTGCTCCCATAAAGATTTATAGCCTCAGAAGCTCTATAAAGGGTCACTGTGAGTTGGAATTAACCTGATGGCTGTGGATTTAGTCCCTTCTAATAACATGTCTGGAGTCCTGGTGTGATGCTGTGGATTTGTGCATTGGACTGCAAAGTCTATTTAACTGCACGATTGGTGGTTCAAGCTCACCAGCCACTCCTCAGAAGCCCTGTACAGGATTGCTATGGGTCAGAACCGACTCGATGGCAATACCATGTTTAAGTAAGAGAGACAAAGTCTCACCATTCTCATATCTAAGGAACATTACAACTATACTTCTTCCAAGGCAGATTTGCATGTTCCGGTACCCATGATACAGTCAGTGTTCTTTGTCAACACCACAAGTTGAATGTGTCAGTTCTTTAGTTTTCTTTTGTTATTGTCCAGTTTTCACATGCACATGAAAGGATGGAAAATACTGTGGCTTGAGTCAAGAAGACCTTAATCATTAAAGTAATGTCTCTGCTTTTTAACACTTGCAGCAGATTTGCCCAATGCAATGTTTAATTCTTTGCTGCTTCCATGGACATTGATTGTTAGCCAACTTCAGTACTTTCTTCATTTATCATGATACTGCTTATTGGTCCAGTTGTGAGAATTTTTGTTTTCTTTATACTGAGGTATAATCCACAGCAACTATATGCAGTCTGTAGTGGGCTGTAGTCTCTGATCTTCATTAGTAAATGTACAGATCCTCTTAACTTTTAGCAGGTAAGGTTGTGTCATCTGCATATCACAAATTGTTCATGAGACTTTCTCTGATACTGATATCACATAATTCTTCACATAGTCCAGTTTAACAGATTATTTGCTCAGCTACAGATGGAACAAGTATGGTAAAAGGTAACAACACTAAGGCACATCTTTCCTGATTTAAAACCTTACCATATCCCATTATTCTGTTCAAATGACTACCTCTGGATTTATGTACATATTCCACATGAGCACAATTAAGTATTCTTGGGTTTCATTCTTCACAGTGTTGGCCATTATTTATTATGATCCTCACAGTCAAATGCTTTTGTGTAGTCATATCACAGGTAAAAATCTTGCTGGTGTTCTCTGCAGTGATACCCCTCCTACCTTGACCATTCCAACTCATTACAGCCCTTTATAAGATTTCTGAGGAGTGGCTGATGAGTTTGAACCATGACATTGTGGTCAGCAGTCCAGTGCTTATCCTACAGCACCTGTAATTCCCACACTCTTTTGGATCACCTTTCTTTTGAATGGACATGAATATGGATCTCTTCTAGTCAGTTGGCCAGGTAGTTGTCTTCCACATTTTTTGGCATAGACCAGTGAACACATCCAACATTAGATCCATTTGTCGTGAAGCATCTTAATTGGTATTCCATCAGTTCCTACAGCCTTGTTTTTTCATCAATATTTCAGTGCAGCTTGGATGTCTTCTTCAGTACCATTAGTTCTTAATCACATACTGCCTCCTGAAATGATTGAATATTGACCAATTCTTTTTGGTACAGTGACTGTATATTCATTCTAGCTTCTTTTAATGCTTCCTTTGTCACTCAATATTTTGCCTAAAGAATTCATTATTGCAACTTGAGGTTTAAATTTTTTCCTCATTTATTTCAACTTGAAAAATTTAGCACATGTTCTTCCTTTTTGGTTTTCTTACCCTAGGTCTTTGCACATTTGATTATAATATACAAGAAGGCTTCAAAAGGTTCATGAAAAAAATCCATTTTTGCTTTTTCCTTAAACTTTCTATTGTGAATTGAGTGAAGGTTTACAGAGTAAGTCATCAGTTTTTAAAAAGCACGCACTTCATTTTTATTTAATGATTACAGTCCCCTCCATGTAACATGAGTTATACCACTGCTTCCTTCCTGTGATTCTGATTTTTATTCCACCCTCCTCCTCAACCCTTCAGAACTTTGTCCTTAGGTAAATGTTGCTCCTTTGATCCTGAATGGCTGGCCATTCCAAATGAGCACACCTTACTATTGTTGCTGCCCACCCCCCTCCGCATACACTCATTCATCTTGTGGCTAAAAATTGAGGCAAGAAGGTGAGCTCAGCTCCAGACACAAAGGGACACAGTGTCAAGTTCCTCAGGTCTCATTCTGACCTGTTAGGGTGGTCTTTTTCATCATTTTGAATTTGTTCCACATTTTCTCCCTGTCTATCCAGGGCCTTCTAATGTGATTCCTATCAGAAAAGTTAGTAGTAGTAGCTAAGCACCATCTAGTTCTTCTGATCTCAGTGTCATGGAGACTGATGTTCACATTGAACTAAGCAATTATGAGCATCTTCAATTTTCATTAGTTTTCTTTCCTCCACTTAGGGAGAAACCACTAATTGCACCTTAGGTAGTCACTCATGAGCTTTTAAGATCCCAGTCACGATTCATCAAATTAGTAGAATATTGTCTTTTTGGACTATGTTATGCCAATTGGCCTTGGTGTCCCCTGAGACTATCTATGGTTCTGAGCCCCCAGGCCCAGCAACTCATTCCCTCAAGGTATTTGGTAAAGTCTAAAAAGTTTTCATTTTGCATTCATAGATCTGTTTGCAGCAAAGGCAAATACCCAAGTTCAGATATTCTGTCAAACGTTTATATATTTGTGAATATCCTCCATCTCTCCCTCCTACAACCATTCAGTTTGTGTGTCTAGCCATGTATCTACCTGTATATCATTGTTATTGCAGGTTTGTATATATAACAGTATTTACCACTGTTAACTCTTGCACTTTTCTTTGTGTCTTCCCTTGCCTTGGTCATTCTTCTGCTAACCTCCCTCTTATTATATATCGCCTTCCCCATTTCCCAAGTTAACAAATGTCAACCCTCTAACTTGTGAATTATTCTCCCTTCCTACCTACTTCTGGTTACCATTAAAGAATGTTTTAATATGCAGATCTTTTCTTGAGTTTTTACAATTATTAGTCTTATATAGTATTTGCCCTTTAGTGATTGACTAATTTCACTCATCATAATGTCTTCTACATGGACCTCACCAGATGGAATACACCAAAATCAAATTGACTACATCTGTGGAAAGAGACAGTCAAAAAGCTCCATATCATCAGCCAAAACAAAGCCAGGGGCAGACTGTGAAACAGATCATCAGTTGCTCATATGCTAGTTCAAACTGAGGCTGAAAAAAATTGAAACTGAAGGAAATTAAGGCAAGTCCATGAGAGCCAAATATGACCTTCAACCTAACCCACCTGAATTTAGAGATCATCTAAAGAACAAATTTGATGCATTAGACACTAAAGACTAAAGAGCAGAATAATTGCGGATGGCATCAAGAACATCATATAAGAAAAAAGCAAAAGGTCATTAAGAAGTCAAGAAAGAAGAAAAAGGCCAAAATGGATTCCAGAAGAGGCTCTGAAACTTGCTCTCCAGTGTAGAGATGCTAAAGCAAATAGAAAAAATAAGGAGGTAAAAGAGCTGAATAAAAAATTTCAAAAGGCAGCTTGAGGAGACAAAGTCAGACATTAATAACAAAATGTGCAAAGACCTGGAGTTAGAAAACCAAAAGGGAAGAACAATTCCACAAGCTGAAGGAACTGAACAAAAAATTCAAGCCTTGACTTGCAATATTGAAGGATTCTGTGGGCAAAATATTGAATCATGCAGAAAGCATCAAAACAAGATGGAAGGAATACACAAAGTCACTACCAGAGAGATATGGTTTGATGTTCAGCCACTTGAGGAAAGAGCATATAATCAA